ATTGTGCTGTTTGTGGGCCTTGAGCTATGTGGACTCTTGGTTTAGATAGCTAGCTTACAAGGTAAGCTTTCGTGTCCTCGGTTTAGCCATGTTGTGGTTCCACCATGTCCCATGGGGGTATGGTTATATGCATGCGGTGTTACATGCTTTGGATATTTGAAATGCTGTTGAGCTTTATGTGTAATGGCTTTTAATATGCATGTGTTGTTCCATCTTGACGGTAAGCCTGAGTATGTGGCGTCATACAAGACGGTGATCTGGGGTGGATGCAAGTGGCGTCTTGCACTATGTGTGGGTATTTGGCGTATATAAATCCTGCATTTCTCTGGCCAGTAGAATAGAATTGACACACATGACATGATTATCTGCTGCATTGCACTATTTTAGAACTGATGATGATAAACTGCTTTTGAACTTATATTGCACATGTAAGTGAGCTTGGGGTGGAAGATCCTTGAGGACCCCTTGCCTTACTGAGATTTCTTGTTTAGAGATCTCACCCCACGTTTGGCGAATGCTTATTTCTGGTTCAGGTAGTATGAGGACTGATGCCTCTGGCGGCAGGAGGCCAGAGCTTAGCTGATTATGATATTTATGTTGTATTGCTGACATGACTGAATTTGGATGCTGTTTATGTTTTCCTCTATTTATGATTATGTTGTTGTTGAGACTGATGTTGGGCTTGTTGCCTTATTTGAGTGAGCATGGGGATTGTCCATGACACTTTCTGTTAGTACTTTTAGATTAGAGTTGTATAACCTGCTAGTTGGTCCGGCCTACTTGTGGTAGTCCCGTGATTTCTAGAGACACACTTATATTATCTATGTTATGAGGTAATAAACAAGTTGGTAATGATAATGACATCATAATTGGAAAGAAAAAGATATTCTGCATTTTTAATTAAGCACAGCTTAATACGATAGTATGATAACATTACCGGATATATACGGAGTGTTACAGATTACGCTTGATGTGAGTGAAAGTGGAAAGAGTTGTTTGTGTTAATTGGGTGGGTCAAATTGTGGGCTGGTCTCAACCACTATCCATTTTTTTCTCAATTTTTATTCTTTATTAAAGCTACTTTTAGGTCGGATAATGTACAAAGTCACGACAAACTAGGTGTTAGTTAATTAGTTCTCATTCTCATGTGGTTATGCTCTGTTGATCAAGCTAAGCTACGACAATTTTTGTTGTTTATAGTGTACATTCTTACCGAAACAATGGCAATTAATAATAATTTGGTTGTATTCTTCTGCAGGTGTGTCTTTTTGTTTCTTTTGTTTTCCATTGCTTTGGTTTTTTTTAGTCTTCTGTTTGATTTTAACCCCTGGGTTTACCTTGCTCCTAAGGTCTCTAGTTTTGTGTTAATCCTAAAAAAACTCTGCTTAAATGCTCCAAGCGTGTGATTTATTGAAGAGCTAATATGAGAGTGTGCATGGAGGGAGAAAATTTAGTCCCCAAGAATGGCACCATAAGTAAATAGAATCAAAATTTTATACCGGTGTAATTTATGTTCTCAATTTTAATCGTTGATTGTATTTATATTTAATATCTCATGTGACTAATAAATTAGAGTCTTTAGATGCAAGATAATCAATAGACAAGATTCGGTACAATGCATGTAATTCTTAAATTAACATAGGTACTTTATCCCTTATCAGTAATATGCAGTGTGATTATATAGTAAACTTGAATTCATGCACCCTTCATAACAACCATTTGAATTTTGAAATCATTTGCAGAATCTTCCCTACCATGCCTAATCTCAAAATTCCAACCTAGCTTAAAGAAACAGTAAAATAGTTAATTAGCTAGCTTATAATATAAATGATGTACGCAGTGAATTACACTGCTTTCAGAAACTAGTTGGTAATTAAAATCATAAATGCATTTACTTCATAACTTATACTGGCATGTTAGAAAAGGTTGTTACCATTTATCTGTAATTCTGCATGCTTTACGAACTCGGTTATTTTCCTCATGAATGGAAGATTTTACTGGTTTTAGCGTTATTTATGTATGGCATCTTTTAATGAAATAAGGATGTAGGTATTGATTCTAAGTGCTAATGGGTCTAAAACTACAAACAAAAATGGCTACTACCATAATGAAAAAGCTTTATTTTGGTGGGCTCAATGAAGGTGGGAAGAGTATGAAGGCTGCTGAATGCATTCTTTGTTTTGGTGGGTCAAATTGTGGGCTAGTCTCAACCACTATTCATAATAAAACCATCGCAATTCGCATACAGCCCCCTACCCTTAATACCACTATTCATAAAAAAACTTATACATCGCAATTAAGCAAATTTAATTCAACCAACCAGCAAAATAATGTCATACAATAGTCATAATCAAGAAAAGAAGTAATATACTACTATTAAAACACTTGAAGACATTTTCTAAAAAAATACAACATTCAAATTCACAAAAAAATAAAAAATTAACCACAATTTAATTGGTCCAGCAGCGAGCAATATTGAGAAAGCATGACTAATTTGATTTTTCAAGTAAATTAAAAAGGATATACTAAAAAAGAAAAAAAGAAAAGGAAACAGAGGCAAAAACAAGAAAAGAAAAAAAAATAATTGTGTATATCAAATAAATTTTTTTTGGTTAAGTAATAAATAACAGAGGCAGAAGCTGAAAGTAAAACGAGATAAAACAAAAAAAAAATATCGACAAAGCCTGCTTTGGTAAACAGATGCATAATCGAAGCGAAACAAAGGCAGTCACGCAGCTCATAAGAGATTGAGAAAGAACACCACCCTGCGACGGCGAAGGCACAACGGTGAATCTGGGAACGGAGAACGAAGACGAAGCTGCGGACAGAGCACATGGAGAACGCCCGCCCGCACACAGACCGGAGTCGGAGAAGACGGTGGAGCGCAGCCAAGCCCGATGGTGGAGTTGTCTCACACTGAGCAGGAACGGTGGCGGCTTCCTCCAGGTATTTAGGGTTTTTTGCATTGAAAAATCCCGTTTATTTGATGGATTTCGGGTAAAAAAATCTGGGTCCACCGTCCATGGGTTAGAACGTTTTTGGCGGAATCGTTTTACTCGTACAAGCTTACGACGAGTTTGCCAAAAAACACGGTATCTCTAACAAGTCAATGCCAAAAACGAGTTTATGGTGAATCAGAATCCTTGAGGGTGTTTAGAAGCGTAACGAGTTTACAAGTTTACTCGCGAGTTTGACAACCATGTTTGGGGGGACTCTGAGACTCAGCGATACATGCATCTGGTTGCCTGGCAACAATTCTGTTTGACCAAAAGCCTTGTGAGGCTTGGGCTTCTGAATTTGGAAGCACAGAATATTGCTTTTTTGCATAAGCTAGCGTGGCATATTATCTCAAAGAACAATGCACTTTGGGTTAAGGTCTTCTTAGCTAAATATGCTCCTGGGGTAGTAGATCTACGACGTGGTTTCACAAGCAAGAACTATGCTTCCCGTTTATGGAAAAGCTTGGGGAAAGTTTGAAGCTCCTTCCTTGCCGGTCTCCCTTAGTCAATTTAGTTTATTATAGTTTATACAAGGTTGAGTTGTGTATTAGTTTACGTCCTTCAGGCATGTTTGATTGATGCATAGTATATAAGAAGGGCCTATAGTATAAGATCTGATTAAATTTTAATACTATTTTGTGTTTGGTATGGTATTGTATAAGATAATATCCTTCAATATTTTAAAAATTAATATATTAAAAAAATTATTTTACTATATTAATATTGAAATGATATATTAGTTCTTGGAAATTGCACTTTTAAGCAACATTAATACATAAACCCCTTATCAGGCCTAATCCTACCCCCTTATGCTTGATTAAGTTATACATCATTTGAATGTATAAATGGATCTTGCTGTATAAGCTTATACTATACGATAGTCACACCAAACAACTGAAAATGTCATGATGTATAGTATAAGCTTATACTATCAGGCTTTATACATCACATCAAACAGGCCACCTAAGTTTGTTTTTTTTTGCTTTGGGCTTATAGCCCTCAATCAATACCAAAAAAAAAAAAAATTAAAAACAAAAACTTAACATACTAGTTAAGTGGGTACGAATATAATTTTGGTAGGTTCACCTATGAAGTATAGCATGTCTCTAACCCATCCCGAATCACTAAAGCTATCCAAGTTTAATTGTAATATGTGAACCAACTTGAGCGGCCTCATTTAACATGTTAATCATGTACATATTGAGTTGATCAATTCAACTTAAGAAAATAAAATCATAAAAATAACGCACATTATCCCTTTCAATGTAGGTAAAATTGAGTTTCTACATAGAAACGAAAGAGGGTGGTAGAAACGAATCGAAACGTAAAATTTTTACTATTTAAGGTCAAGATACAAAATTATGTGTGTGTGATTTTTTTTTTAATTTTTTCTTTGATATAAGTTACTATTCAAAATTTAATAAATAACTTCATATTTAAAAGATATAAGTCACATAACTACATAAGACATAAATCACATAACATTATAAGACATGAGTTCAGTTCGGGTTGAACTTATTTAAAAAATAAAATTAAATAAATAAAGTAATAAAAATAAAAGAAGCCACTAAATAAATAAATAAATAGAGAGAAAAATAAAAATAAAAATAAAAAGGAAGAGAAAAAGAAAAAGAAAATAATTCAGTTCTTGAATTTTTTTTTTTTTTTTCACACTTTTAAAAATGGGTTGGAAGTACGCTAGCCCAAAGCATGTGTGGCCAACTCAATTAAAATAAAATATAAAAAGTTATACAGCTTTTTACCTTATTAAGCTAAGAAAATTGAAAATTCCAAAACTATTCATCTAATGTAAAATAATTATATTTATTTTTAATAAATATATTTAAATACAACTCATATGTAACGTAAAATATGAATATAAGATACCAAAAATAAAATAAAATATGAATATAAGTGAAGGCTTATTCTGTTATTCATCAACAGTGTGACTGGTCTAGGGTTCGATTCCTACTTATCCAAATATTCGAAATTCCTTTAGGAATGGAAGAAGCGAATGAGGACGCATGCATTGCTGAACTATTTGGATGCAAAGGGAAGAAGAAAAATAATAAGACGAAGAAAACGGCCGAGACAGTTGGCGTGGAAGCAGCTGAGGATTCTGCAATAGTCGTTGCCGCAAACGATGGTGGTGATGCTAGTACAAGTAGCGGTGTTAGGATTTCTCTGTTCGATTTCTCGGTTGAGAATTTTTTCCAAGACATGGACACCATTGCCAAACTCTGCAGGGAAGAACAACACTACGCTGCATTTGAGCAAAGCGAGATCCAGAGAATATCTTCGTCCGTCACTTTCTTAAGGTATAAACAAATACTACGATTTTTCTTTTTCTTTTTCTTTTTCTTTTTCTTTTTTTTTAAATTGAGCTTATTATCTGTTCAATGATGGAAGCTATGGTAAAGAACTTCTATCATATTATATATGTCAAAATTGTTTTTTCATCAGAATCAGTTTTGAAAAATTTAGGTAGTTACCTAACACATTATGTTTAAAAACTGGCCCTGATATACTTGGATATTTAGTTTTTAGTAGTTCCCAAGGACCAAAACTTGATTTTTTTATTTTTTGTTGACGTTAAATGTGCAGAGAATGGAGAGATTTTAAATATCCATCAAGAAGCATTAGGTTTGCTTACGGACTTGGGAGCCCTGAGAGCTCTGAGGGAAAGAATGACAGTGCCATAAATTTACCTCAGTTTTCGTCTGCCACTGTTCCTAAGGTACAAGCGTTTGTTACTTTTGTATTGTATTATTCCTTATTTGTTTCCCATTCCAGTACTCATATTCGGATTAAAGCAAGCTGTGATAAAGATTTATAATTTGATAGAAGTATCATTGAACTGTGTCTACCTGAAAGGTGTTGATGCAATAGGACTGATAGTACCTAACTTAACTTCATATTGATTGGCCAAGTAATTGTGTTTTTTTTTAAGACGTGATCATATGAGTAATTGATAGGTTACCTATTCACTTAGTATTATGGATTCTGCCTAAACCAATAACTTGAATTGAGCTGCAGTGCTTCTGAGCTATTAATACCGAACTCTGTTTACCTTAATAGGTATATATAATTGCTGGAATTTTGGTTGACTGGTATATAATGTGAATTTCAATACCTGTAATTGTAAACTTTATTCATATATGACCTTGAGCATCTGACAAGTACCATTATAGTTGTATAGTCTGCTTAATTTTGGTCATTTGATCTTGCTAATATAGTACGCATGTATCATTAAAAGTGTCAAACTCTTGAATTTAAAATTTGCTTTGGCTGATTCCTGAATACCTTAACTAGTTTATATTAAGAACCTTGTAGCTGCAAAAGCTGTCAAGTCATCTTTTGAATCTGAGAATTTTCAAACTGTCACTGCCTAAAACAGATTTAACTTGACCAACTCAATACCCAGTTTGCGATTGGTGGTGTAATTTTTTTTCACTTAAAACATCTATATACTTGCCTTTTACATGCATCGAGCTTGAGTCAATATTTGGCCGACTTGAGGGACTGATGTGATAGTAGCATATAAGTTGGGTTTTAAAGAAAGCAAGAATATAGTGTGTCCTTATATAATGGTTCTTGACCATGTAATCTGCATGTTTACTTACATTCTATTTATACACTTGATGTAACTACCCAAGATCTGATTTCGAGTTGTATCTTGTGTAGTCAACTACGACACGTATTATTCTCTACCACTCTAATTTTGGTTAGTTTAGCCTTGTAACTATATCGTGAAGGAAACATCAGAACTGGTAGTTAATCTTATACCAATATTAACTTGAAACCTCTTTTTTGTTTGGGGCATAGAATAAATATTTTCAGGAGAGTTAGGGGCTGACTTTAAAGGTTTAATTGGCAAGTGCTAGAAAATTAGGGAAGCATGTGATTCTTAGTAATCTTTCCGTGGTTTCTCAATGATGAATGCATATAGTTAAAAGTTCTGTTATGTTTGTTCTTGCTTCCTAATTTGATGATGATATAGATGGTTGATGTTACAATGCATTCGGGCTGACATTCTCCAATTAATACATGAGTTTCTTAATTGTCAAAGTTAGTGCTACTTACTTCCTTTTACCATGTAATTCTGGAAATGTCTTAAATTAGCTTATTGGGGTTCCCCAAATGATTTTCCTCAATCCATCTCCTTACTTAAGGTACAAGCACCTCTGAATTATGTCCCATGGAAATTCTGGCCTACTATCAGACCCATAAAATTGTAGAAGAATTTAGGAAGGGAGGCACATGGATAAGGAAGCCAGTAATTATGAATTAATCTTACAATCAAAACAGGAAATTATGTAAACAATAAGGAACCTCAATTATCCTTTTCTTCTTCTCATTTATGTGTAGTGGAATTTAAATAAATTCCTATATTACATTACATGTCTGCACAACATAAAATCAGAATTTGGATTTGATTTTTTTGGCGTAATTGTAATGACTTAGGCCAATGTGATTGATGCATGAGTCTGTAGGGATTGACGAATGAGACTGTTTCTAAGTGGTAATTAGTACACCTGTGATGAATATGTATGTGATGTATTACTGCCTTTAGGGAGAAATCACAAGTATGCAACTGTGTTTTATGTATATCACTTACTTTTCTTATTTCGCTCTTGAACATATGGTCTACTTAAAAGATAGTTGAGGATCATTAAAAGTAAAATGAGGGATAGAGGAACTTATTAACACGCTATTTTTATGGTTGAGAAACCTTTAGTGCTATGTGGGTTCTATATGTGGATATGAGACACCACTATTGAATGTGAATTACCATAGATGTTCTAAATTACTGTTTAATCTCTAGAAATAATATTGATTAGGAAGACTAATTGCAATTTTGAGTATTTATTCATGCAAGTGTTACTCAGACAAGTGACTGCTTATGTGATTAATTACGGTATGTCATAAGTTATAAAATGTGTGATGAATACAACTATTCTTTAAGTAGTGGACTTAAGATCACTCTCAAGAGTGATTATTTGAAATTTTGAGGACAAAATTTTAAAAAGGTGGGGGAAATTATAACACCTAAATGTAGAAAGTCTGATTTAGACTGTATCTATTTATTTTTGGGGCATAAATGTAATCTCTCTGAAATTCAGGGCAAATTTAGAAATTCATAAAAAAAAAGAAGGGAAAATTTTAAAATTTTTGAAACTTGCTCCTAAGATTAAGGCTATATGTGTGAATAATCATAATTTCTTTAGTACACCTCTTTTGTTTAGCCACTTGATGGAAATCTAACGTGCATGGGTAGGATGCAACTTCCTAACTCTACTACCCACCTCACCCAATCATTCAGCCTTGCATTGAAATTTTATGAGAAATTTCCTCTTGTCTCCATGATTAACCTAGGCAACAAAATATACTTTAAGCTCTTCCACAACATCTACCTATTCTCTTCTCTCCTTCGACCACACCCTAGGTATTCATCTCCATTTCTTCTTTACTTTCTAAGCTATTTCAATCTCGATAAGTCTTCCATATTATTTAGAGTATGCTGTGAAACTGAATTAATTGATTGTCGAAAGAGTCCCTTTTATGAGTTAGAAGCTTCGGACTTTCTCACTGTTTGCATTTTTTGGGAGTGAAGTAGCAAATGAGGGGTTGATTATTACTCCTTATCTCAGTCCTCGAATCTGGAATAGCTCAGGTAAAGAGTGGGGGTTTGTCCTTTTCATTTCTCAGGGCTGCATGTTCGATTTTGTGCTGAAATTCCATGAAGGAGAATAAGAAAATTGAATTCCACTCATTGCATGTTGTTCTTAGAAAAATTTAAGAACTTAAGGAAATAGGATGGGAGGTGTAGGGACTGTATTGATAATGGAAATTCAGCTCATTGGGCTGAATTCCTTTCGTACTTACTAATGTATGCACTTATGTGTCATAGCCTCTTTGGAGCCCCTCCCGTGGGTAGGAATTAGGGACATGATACGGGCCCAATTCATAAGGTATACTCACGTAGGAGGTTCAGGGCCCAAATGGAGCAGGCTGAGTCAGCAAGGGGGTCGTTAGAAGGAGAAGGTTCCCGCATGGTTTCGGTGGCTCAACAGAATACAGTTATTGAGTGAGGAGGGTATTAGGGGACCACGTGGGAAGGAGAGGGGTATCTGGGATCTGGAATTGGCTGTAACAAGCTTGGTGCTCACAATATATACGCACCAGCTTGAGGGGGAGTGTTAGAATAGGAAATATAATATTTATAGATTTGTATAGATTGCCTTCCTATTTGTAAATATTCTTTTCCTATTTAGGATTTAGGTTAGGTCTGGGCTTCTCACTTAAGCCCATTAGGGTCTCTATATATTGTAACTCTTTGTATCAGTTTAATACACAACATATTATTTTATATTCAAGTAATATTATCATTGTGTGTGTTTTTCTTAGCATAATATGCGATGGGAGGATCAACTTGGGGATGCCAATTCTCGGGAATCTAGGTATGGCTAAGATATTAGGAACTTGTGTTGGTTTATTCAATGACATTCCTATGGAGTTTTACTTATAGTGCATGTTTGTATCAATCATTTAACACTTATATCTGAACTTTCTGATAAATTAAAGTATTCCATCTCTACTTATTATTTAACTTGGCTTAATACTTAAGTCTTGTTGTAGCAGAGATTTTGTGATGAATGCTGGAGGTCCTGTATGGGCTTTAGATTGGTGTCCTCGGGTACACGAAAAGCCTGATTGTTCAATTGAATGTAAGGTATTTTGTTTCTCTCTTCCTTTAAGACATCTATTGAGCCTTGCTGTTGATTATTTTTATTGTTATGGGAAATTTTTAAAGTTAATGCAATCTAAATGGTGAATCTGTCTGTTTGACGGCTCTGATATCTCAAATGTTAAGGTTGATAGCCTATTTGAAGTTTCATGGGGAGGTAAGGTTGGAGAAGTTAAGAAACTTGCCTTTTAGGGTTGAACTAGGCTCTGAAAATATTGGAGCTTGACATCAAAGATGTAACTAAGTTTTAACAAAATAGCAGCAGAAGCTATGGGCAGTACAACTATAAGATTCCTTTTTTCTCTTCTCTCTCTTAAATCTAATGGTAAACAAATTTGAGGGTGAGCCTGAACAGTGATACAATTGATCCTTTGTGCACGATAGGTCACTGATTTGAATCTAAGGAAACAATCTCTTTGCAAAAATACAAGGAAAAAATTGTGTATAAGGATTTCCCTCACCCCTACCTTTGCTTATCGGGGTTTTATGGGAATTTTTTTTTTCCTGGTGAACATATTTTTAATACGTTGATTGTGAAAAGTTTCTTAATGACTTGGTTTTAGGACCATTATGGACTAAAGGGAAAATATAGTAATTTTGGTATTAATTTTTTTTTTTTTTGGTATTATTTTTTATCCTGATAATATGGGGTTGGGTTTTAGTGTTTTACTGTGACAATAAAGTAGGAAGTCAAAGGTTAGGGGTCTTTTTATAAGTAGCGGAGAAGGTTCTGGCCGGATAAGGTTACTGATTGTGAAAAACAGTTTTAGGATCAATATGGTGATTGTGAAAGGTTTCTTAACAACTAGATTTTAGGACTTTTTATGGATGAAAGGGGAAAATACAGTAATTTTGTTGTTATTATTATTATTATTATTATTTTATCATGCAACATCATTTAGGCCTTGTATGTGAAGTAAAAACTGTGTTTGTTGTGGGGGGGGGGGGGGGGGGGGGATAGAGTTGATGCTATTGGAGCAGGTTTGGTTCCCAGTTTCCTTAATGATGATTTAGGCCTTGTATCTGAAGGTTTTTGGTTTTTTTTCTTCTTCCTATGTTAAAGTTCTCCACTGTTCTACATTATACCTACTTTATATATTTGGAATAATGTTGTGGTTGCTTTGTCATTTGTTTGTCTACATTTATGTTAGTATGGTAGTGAAATGATACACTAAGCTTTACTCTTCCAGCATGGAAGTAGGAAATAATGGACATTTTTTTTTTTTTTTGTAAAAGTTGTACATTAAATGACCTTCTCTCTGATATTTGTTTTAGTTTATTGCTGTTGCTGCTCATCCACCTGGCTCTTCTTATCACAAGATGGGTGCCTCACTTACTGGCAGAGGTGTCATCCAAATATGGTGTCTTCTAAATATCCGGGGACCCGACGAAGAGGTATCTTCTCTCACAGAGGAGAGAAAAAAAAGACCTAACAAAGATAGAGGCACAAAGGACAAATCGACACAAATAAAGAGGCCTAGAGGAAGACCAAGAAAGAATCTAACATTAGTAGCAGTGGATGATACGAACTGTGAGACCCAGTACGTGCCAGCTCTTGCTGTTCAGGTTGCAGAAAATTCTACTGAGTTTACTGCTCCAGATGGGAATCTTGAAAAGAATGAAGAAATATTTCCTACTACAAACAAGAGAAAAGGTAGACCTAAAAAAAATGAAGCCCTGAATGAAAAATCATCACTGATAAAGAGACCTAGAGGAAGACCTAAAAAGAATTCAAATGAAGTAACAGCAGGTTATCCAGAGTGTGAGAACCAATCTGTGCAAGCTCTTGTTCAAGTTCCAGAAGATTCAGCTGAATTTATTTGTCCAGATGTGGCTCATGGTAATTGCAATGGAAAGAGACCTAGACGAAGACCTAAAAAGAATTCAGATGAACTAACATCGGCTGATCCAAAATGTGAGAACCAATCTGGGCAAGCTCTTGCAGTTCAAGTTCCAGAAGATTCAGCTGAATTTCTTTCTCCAGATAGGACTCCTGGCAATTGCAATGAATATGCTTTGCAACAATATTCAGTTACAAAGGGAAAGCATGCCAAAAAAGCTGCCTCTGCATGCAATACTATTCCAAAACGTCTTGTTAAAAGGAGTAGGTTGAAAATTAATAGTAGGGAGGGGAAGCATAACCAAGATATTAGTCAGCCATTATTGATACAGGGTGAGAATGAGGCACAAAATCATAAGCATTGTAACTCAGAATTGGGTCCTCAGGCAGCTGCTTGTTCTATTCCAGGAGATGTTACTTTGCCAAGAGTTGTGTCATGCCTAGCTCATAACGGAAAGGTGGCATGGGATGTGAAATGGCGGCCTACTAACATTTCTGATTCCTTATGTAAGCACCGAATGGGCTATCTTGCTGTCTTGTTGGGCAATGGATCTCTGGAAGTGTAAGATGTCTTAAGCCTCATTCTCGCTATACTTCAAATGATTCTTTTTATTTATTTTTGTTAACTGTTTTTATATGTTGCTACTGACTGGCATATTTTATTAGTTTTCAGGTATTAGAAATTTGGATATTTTAAGTAAATACAATTCTAAATATTATAGTATAATAACCGTATCATAACTAGCTCCCCTGAATTGAATGAAACATAATGGACAAAGGACAATTACTTGAAAAGCAAATTAGGGTTGACAGTTGATTTAGTTTGAATGAAATGTGGTACAACCTATGGGGCATAAGAAGAAAGTGTTTTCCCAGGCCAATTTATCATAAAATAAACCTAAAAGATTATAATGTGGTTAGTGTAGTAAGTTTCTCCTTGTTGTATACTTGTATCTAGTTTGTTATTCAGGTATTTATATTGTATATAGTTACAAAGTTTATTCTAAATGCTGAAGTAAAATCACATCAGTACCTCACCAAAAAAAAATAAAAAATCACATCAGTAAATATATAGTCAGTAGTTAGTACACTTTCTATTTGTCTTTCAGTTTAATTTTATCTGTGCAAACATTTAACAACAAATCTTGGTCTTTAGTCGTAATTGGCCGTAGAACAATAATCAGTTTGAAACAAGAATGATCTAGTCTGATTTTTTTGTGGGGAAAAAAAACCAGGAGAGATTTATGTTACTCACAAGAGCAGGATGAATGGAATGGGCAGGCAGTAGGCTTTGTGGGTTTCTAATTCTACTCTTTCTGAGATCAACATTTTTCCTCTAAGGACAGTATTTTTCTTTTTATAACAGAATGTCACTCACTATTAACTTAATAATCAACATCAACATCAACATCACCTTTATCCCAAATTAATTGGGGTTGGTGGTAGATGAACCCACATGAAAGATACAAAATGGTTGAAAAAGATAAAAAAAAAAAAAAAAAATATATATATGTAAAGAACCTTGAGGTCACCAGCCTAAGAGCTAGCTCAAAGGGTGGGAGTGCCCAAAGCCTGTGGGACTATATATCTCAACACGCCCCCTCACACGAGAGCCCATTGGGCTTGAAGAGTGGAAGATGCAACAGGCCCAGCCTACCTGTGCTAAGAAAGTCCACAAGACAAAGTAGGGGGCGGCGAGGCTCTGATACCATGTAAGAAAGCCCAGTTGGTACCAGAGCTTGTTCGTTCTGGGGACCCTCGCTTCCGCTTAGAAACCTTGTTCTTGCTTTAAAACCTAAGCCCACTGCTTAGGAGTCCTTTTTCTTGCCGAGCGTCTTTCCGGCAAGCCATCTAGGGCTGTAAACAGCCTCTGAGTATTGTTTCCAAACGCGTTAGCACCGCCGACGGCCACCGGAACCACCCGCCGCCACCGGAATCACTGTTCAGGCCACCGGAGATATTTTCCGGCGACTTTTCCGACCTAACTTCATGCGATCAGGACTGTCTCTTCCCGGCGACCAGGTCTGTGGAGGTCCGACCACCATCGGAGCTCCCACGCGCTCTCACGCGCCACCTGTCTTCCCTGCGCGTGGGCTTCACGCGCCACCTTCTGCCGGCGCGTGAGCCATGCGGCTTTTTCCGGCCGGTCTTGGATAGAGAAGCTCGCCTTCTCCTGCTCTTTCTGGATCTGTAGTTGTTTTGGTGTGGGTCTGACTTTTTGCGCGCACCCCTTCTTGATCGGTGATCAGGTTCGTTCCTATTTACTCGGTTAATATCTTTCTGATTTCTTATTATGGCAGCAGATGGTTCTATTCATTCGGAGGTCAATTCTCCACCTCCTCCTGTCAAGAATTCTCCCAATATCATCTCTACCAATGTTGGGTCCATTAATTCTTCAAAATTAAAGGGTTCTGTTAATTACATGAACTGGGCCACCTCTGTTCGAGTTTGGTTCTTTGGCCAAGGACATGGGAGCCACCTCACGACTAAGTTTACTGATGTCCCTAAGGAGGAAAAGTCTGATTGGGAAAAGATCGACAACCAGCTTCTGAGCATCCTCTGGCAATCTATTGATCCAGTTGTCTTGGACATCTTCTATTCGTTTCAAACTTGTACTGAAGTGTGGCAGGAAGCAAAAACCCTCTACACTAATGATATTCAGCAGCTCTGCGTCATCATCTCTCAGTTTATGGAACTGAGCAAATCATCCGACATTCAGATGGAAACATATGTTGGCAAGAGTCGATCTTTGATGCAGGCATATTTGGATATGTTGCCTTACCTTACTGATGCTACTGCATATCGGAAACAGGTGGAACACCTCTTTATGGTTGCCACACTGTCTGGCCTCCCTGAAGAATATGATAATGTCCGGGATACTATCTTGACTAGTGGGGAGCCTGATCTTTCAATGACGTATCAGCGTCTTCTGAATCTGAATAAGAAATCTGCTCTTGCATCTGCTTCTGCTATTGATTTTACTGCTCTAGTTTTCCGTACTGACTTTCGCGGAAACATTGGAGGTGGACGTGGTCGTGGTAAAGGCCTGGGGGGACGTGGTCCAGGAGCCCCAGGAAGACGTGGCACAGGAGGCCCAGTCGGACGTGGTCAGCGACCTCGTTGTAATTACTGTCAGCAACTTGGTCATTATGAGGAACGTTGCTACACAAAGTACCCTCACCTGCGACCTTCTTATGCTGCTAATATAGCTCAATCGGATTCTGCTTCAAATAGTACAGTCTCTCTCTCATCTGAAGACTATGCAACATTCCAGACTCTTCTCAGAAAGATCACTCCTCAGTCTCAGGCATCTGCTTCAGAAACTGGTAATCCCGTTGCTTGTGTTTCTCATTCTGCATCACTTGGCCCTTGGATATTTGACTCAGGTGCTGCTGATCACCTCTGTGGTAATAAGGAACTCTTTTCATCCCTTACATATTCTGCTAACTTACCCTCTTTTACCCTTGCTGATGGTACTAAGGCTCCTGTTCATGGAATTGGACAAATATGTCCAACCTCCTCATTGACCTTGACATCTGTCTATTACATTCCTAATATCCCTTACAATTTAATATCTGTTAGTAAATTGATCAACTCTCTTAACTGTACTGTCACCTTCTCAAATCATTCTGTTTCTGTGCAGGACCCGGGTACGGGGAAGACGATTGGAGTGGGCCGTGAGTCACGGGGACTGTTCTACCTGGTTGTGCCGAGTCCTTCCATTGCTTGTTCTCTCACAGAATCTCCACAACTCATCTACAGTCGCCTCGGGCATCCTAGTCTTTCCAAATTGCAGAAGATGGTTCCTCTTTTGTCCGGTCTTCAGACTTTAGATTGTCAGTCATGTCAGCAAGGAAAGCACATACGCTCCTCCTTCGCTAATCGAGTCAATAAACGAGCTGATGCTCCTTTTTCAATTATTCATTCAGATATTTAGGGTCCTAGTCGTAGTGTGTCTGTTTTAGGTTTTCGGTATTTTGTTACCTTTATTGATGATTTTTCTCGTTGTACTTGGATCTATTTAATGAAAAACCGTTCTGAGTTGTTTTCTATTTATAAAAAATTTTCTGCTGAAATTCATACTCAATTTGGTGCCTCTATTCGTATTTTACGTAGTGATAATGCTAAGGAATATGTTTCTGTGGACTTTTCTAATTTCTTAGCCAAACAGGGTACTTTACACCAAACTACTTGTCCTCACACTCCACAACAAAATGGAGTAGCTGAACGTAAGAATAGACACCTCATTGAGACTGCACGGACTCTTCTTCTTCACATGCATGTTCCTCTTCACTTCTGGGCCGATGCAGTCCTTGCCTCTTCTTTTCTCATCAACCGTATGCCTTCATCTGTGCTTGATAATGAAATTCCTTATCACTTATTGCTTCCAGATGTCCCTCTCTATCCTCTATCCCCACATGTCTTTGGTTGTACCTGTTTTGTTCATGATCTCACCCCTGGTAAGGACAAGTTAACATCCAAAGATTTTAAATGTATTTTTCTTGGTTATTCTCGTCTTCAAAAGGGTTATCGTTGTTATTCTCCAGATCTTAAGCGTTACTTATTTTCCGCTGATGTCACTTTCCTCGATCAACAACCCTTTCATTCTATCCTATCTCAGTTGTCACAGGTAGATTATGTTCTTTCTGTCCCTTTTCTTGACTTGTCTTTGCCAGCTGTAGGTACTCCTATTCCAGATAAGCAACCTTCTGCTTCAATACCTGCGGACCGTCCACTTCTCACTTATTAGCGTCGTAAAACTGTGCCTCCTGTCGACTCGACTCCTGATGACTCATTGCCCCCTGCAGTTGATTCTTCCCCTCCGGATCCTTCACCAGAGGCTCTTCCTATTGCTCAAAGAAAAGGTACACGTACTATTCATAACCCTTATCCTCTTTATACCTTTTTGAGCTATGACCGTCTTTCTTCACCTCATTTCACCTTTGTTTCTAGTCTTTCTTCTATTTCTATTCCTAAAACTACATGTGAAGTACTTTCCCATCCAGGGTGGCGCCAAGCGATGCTTGATGAGATGACTGCACTTCATTCCAATGGCACTTGGGACCTTGTTTCTGCTCCTCCAGAGAAGTCTATAGTTGGTTGTCGCTGGGTGTTTACTCTAAAAGTTGGACCTGATGGTCATGTTGATCGACTCAAGGCTCGCCTCGTTGCCAAGGGTTTTACTCAAATCTTTGACCTTGATTATGGCGATACATTCTCTCCGGTTGCTAAGATGGCGTCAGTCCGTCTATTTCTTGCCCTTGCTGCTGTTCGTCACTGGCCACTCCTTCAGCTTGACATCAAAAATGCCTTTCTTCATGGTGATTTGCAAGAGGAAGTTTACATGGAGCAACCACCTGGTTTTGTTGCTCAGGGGGAGTCTGGTAAAGTGTGTCGTCTTCGAAAACCCTTATATGGTCTCAAGCAGTCTCCTCGAGCATGGTTCAGTCGCTTCAGTTCTGCTGTTCAGGCGTTTGGCTTATTCCGCAGTAAAGTTGATCATTCTGTATTTTATAGGATTACATCTCCTGACAAGTGCATCTATTTATTAGTCTATGTTGACGACATCATTCTCACCGGAAGTGATCAAGACGGAATTTGTCAGTTAAAGCAGCATTTATTCAGTACATTTCAAACAAAGGACCTTGGGAAGCTGCGTTACTTCTTGGGAATTGAGGTGGCGCAATCTAGACAGGGCATCTCTATTTGTCAAAGGGTGGGAGTGCCCAAAGTCTGTGGGACTATATCTCAACAGTATATATAAATAAATAAAAGTAAAAAAGAAAGGGACAAGAAGAAGTGGGGGAAATGAAGGGGAAAAAGACTAAAAAGGGACCATCTGGAACATAGGAATAACAACGGGTCTAACCATCCACCATACTTATAGTTTTTCTCCATTCCGTTCTAAGACATACCGTCCATCAATCTATATCCCACTCCATTAAATCTTGTTTTACTACCTTTCCCAAGTAAGTTTCAGCCGACCTCTGCCTCTTTTTGTGTTGAGCTCTTGGTAACAAACTTCTGTTCTTACAAGAGCATCGAGGGGCCTTCTCATCACGTGCCCAAACCACCTCAATCTATGTTCTCTCATCTTCTCGGCTACCGGTACTACTCCGACCTTTCGTCGAATATCTTCATTTTTTATCTTATCTATCCTTGTGTAACCACACATCCACCTTAACATCCTCATCTCTGCTACTCCCATCTTATGCTCATGTTGCCTATGTGCTGGCCAGCATTCCGCTCCATATATCATTGCCGGTCTTACTGCCGTTTTATAGAATTTTCCTTTTAACTTAAGGGGGATTTTGCGGTCACACAAAAACCCAGATGCACTACGCCATTTCATCCACCCTGCTTTGATTCTGTGATTTACATCCACATCAATCTCTCCACCTTTTTGTAAAATGGAGCCCAAGTATTTAAAAGCATCTTTTTTGGGTACCTCTTGACCACTTAAACGCACGGGCTCTTGGTCCCCATCTCGTACCAGAGAAAACTCACACTTCAGATACTCAGTCTTGCTTCGACTTAATGTGAATCCTTTGGATTTCAATGTGCTTCTCCACAATTCAAGTTTTCTATTAACACCCTCCTTGCTCTCATCAATAAGCACAATATCGTCTGCAAAAAGCATACACCATGGCACTTCCTCTTGAATATCTTTTGTTAGTTCATCCATAACTAAGGCAAAGAGATAAGGACTTAGAGCCGGCCCTTGGTGTACACCAACCGTGATAGGAAAATAACTTGATGTTTTGTTACAAGCTTTTACACATGTAGTAGCCCCATCATACATATCCTGGATTGTCTTTACATACTTTGATGGAACCTTTTTCTTTTCCAGAACCCACCATAAAACTTTCCTTGGAACCTGTTAAGAGTGTTAGTGTTAATAGTGTAGAAGTCCCACATTGAGTGTGTCTCTTTGTATTCTTCAATTGGTTTGCTATATAATAGCACCAATGTTGTGTAGTTTAATACAACAAGGATTACTATCATTTCCTCTTATATCTATGATATTCAACTTGGTATCTAGAGCCTAATAAGAGGAATCTTAATCCGTTTAACTTAGTTCTATTTTCCATAATTTCAATATGGTTATAGAGAGATATCACCCTCCTTGAGGGATTCCCGTTGCTATTTCTTTTTCGGGTTTTTTCTTAGTATGCTCTGTAACTGCAGCTTAGACTGATCTGTCACATCAGAAAAGAATGATCCTTGGGAAGTTGTTGGGTTGACCACCGTTGTCGTTGACCGACCACCGTTGACCGCGTCGTCCACCGTTGACAGCCGTCTCCGGCAACTTTTCCGGTGACTTTTCTGATGGTCATTCCAGCACAATTGTCTTTGCCGATGATAATTCCGGCACTGTTTAGAAGTTCCTTTTAAGGGGGAGCACTGTCCATGTTGTTGATGGTCATTCCAACACAATTGTCTTTGCCGATGATAGTTCCGGCACAGTTTAGAAGTTCCTCTTGAGGGGGAGCACTGTCCATGTTGCTGATGGTCATTCCAGCGCAATTGTCTTTGCCGATGATAATTCCGGCACTGTTTAGAAGTTCCTCTTGAGGGGGAGCACCGTCCATGTTGCTGATGGTCATTCCAGCCATGGTTGTTAGTATCGCACGATACGCGATACGTATCGTGCGATATGATACGATACAGTTTCAGAACGATATGGATCGCAATGGTGAATCGATTTTGGCATGAATCGTTAGCATGAATCGTAGAATCGAACGATTCAAAACTGAATCGTGAATCGAAATTACATTTGCGATTCAAAATATAAAAAAAAAATTAAAAAAAAACACTCAACAGTCGCTTGGATCGGGTTGTTATATGAAAGGTTGCTTCAGAAAAATCAGGGATTCAAAATCCCATTTAAAAAACAAAAGGAAACAAGAAGCAACGAACGATACAGAATTTGTATAGGACTGAGAGGAGAGACTTTCAGAGGAGAAAACGCCTTGCAAATTGTAGAAGAAGCAACGAAACAAAAATTTCAGAGGAGAGACTCTGTGTAGAAGAAGACTTGCAGAGGAGAAGAGCGTGTAGAAGAAGAAGAAGACGCACAAAAGACTTACGGGTACTATTTTTTTTTTTTGAAATAGACGGGTACTATTTTTGAAATGGGTTTGTCCGTTTGTGATTGTAAATTGAAAAGAGAGGATCAGAGGATACATTATATTAATATATTATTATAATATTATAAACAAGCTGCAGTGCGTTCTCAATTTAAAATGCATGTGAGGATGTGTCTTATAAATAGATTATTGCTTCTATTTATAAGACACGTACTATTGCCTATTGCTTTCTCAGCTTTTTGTGTATGTGTCTTATAATATTATAAACAAGCTACAGTGCGTTCTCAGCTTTTTTGTGTATGTGTCACTGTCATGTTGAAAGTGAAAGTGCTATTGCCTATTGCTCAAATGAAACTGCTATTGCCTAGTGCTGCCTATGAAAGTGCTATTTCCTTTTTCATTTAAATAGTGAATAAATTTAATTGAGTATTAGTGCATTAGCTGAAGACACCTATGGACCTACCTAATTTTTTTGCCTTTGATTTTTTTTTTCTCTTTTACAGTAATAGAAATAATAAAAATGGCTCCAAAGAAGAAATCCCAAAAACAGAAGGATATAACTTGGGATCATTGTAAATCCCTTGCGAATAGATTGAATGTTAAATGTAATTATTGTCCCAAAACAATGTGGGGAGGAACATTTAGAATGAAGCACCATCTAGCTGGAACACACAAAGAAGTTGCTCCATGCCAACAAGTGCCGGAAGAGATAAGGGATCTATTTAAAAAAATATTAGAGGATGCAAGAGATGATGATGAACTAGAGTGCTTCGATGATAAAGATTCACAAAAAAAAGGGAGCATGGATAGTTTTATGATAAAAGGAAAAAGTGGAAGTGGCTCATCTGCTATGAAACAACAAACTATAAATTCAATGGTGAAGGATAGAGATTTGGTGGTTCGAGATATTTGTAGATGCATATATGGCAATGCATTGCCATTTAATTTAGTTAAGAGTCCACTATTTATTAATATGGTGAAGTCTATTAGTGAATATGGTAGAGGCTTAAAACCACCAACTTATCATGAAGTGAGGGTGTCATATTTGAAGAAAGAAGTTGATCTTGTCCATACTATTTTGGATAAATATAAGTTGGAATGGAAGAAAACTGGTTGTACATTGATGTCAGATGGATGGACTGATGGAAAGGGTAGATCTCTTACTAATTTTCTTGTTAATAGTCCTAGAGGGACTGTTTTTATAAAATCTGTTGATACAAGCAGCTTTATTAAAGATGCTGAAAAAATGTTTGAATTACTTGATGAGATGGTGATAGAAATTGGAGAAGAGAATGTCGTTCAAGTAGTGACAGATAGTGCTTCAGCCCTTGTATCTGCTGGACAAAAGTTGATGGATAAAAGAAAGCAACTCTTTTGGTCACCCTGTGCAGCCCATTGTCTTGATTTGATTTTGGAAGATATTGGTGGCATTACAGTGTTCTATAATACCATTTGGAAAGCAAAAAAAATTACAACTTTCATTTATAGGCACACATGGGTGTTGAATTTGTATAGAACCTTTTCAAAGGTAGAGAGTTAGCTAGGCCTGCAATAACAAGGTTTGCTACATCATATTTGACAATGCAGTCAATTTTGAAACAAAAGACTGCACTTCAATCTCTGTTTACATCTGAAAAATGGGTTAATAGTGCTTATTGCTCTAGGCCGGAAGCCAAATTTGCAGAAAATGTTGTTTTGGCTGATAAAAGGTTTTGGAAATCAATACATTATTGCTTGAAAATTGTGTCTCCTCTTGTGAAAGTTCTTAGACTTGTGGATGGTGATTCAAAACCTGCAATGGGATACATTTATGAGGCTATGGATAGAGCAAAGGAAGAAATAGCAAAGAGTTTTAATCATGAGGAAAAGAGATATAAGGATGTATGGGAAATCATTGACAAGCGTTGGGATTTACAACTTCATAGGCCTCTTCATGCAGCCGCCTATTTTCTTAATCCAAAGTAAGTATAGGTTCTTTATATTTATTTATTTTATATAAAATTCTTTATATTTTATATTTGACTTATTATTAAGCCTTATTCTAAATTTATAATAATTATATAGGTTCCACTATGACACAAAGTTCAACCCAGATCGTGAGGTTAAAACTGGCTTGTGGAAGACATTGGAGAAGATGTGTCCTGATATTGAAACAAGGATCACAATTGATTCCCAAATTGAGAAATTTGACAGGGCTGAAGGACTCTTTGGAAATAGTTTAGCAATTGCAACTAGAGCTAGGAAGCAACCTGGTAATCATCGAATTTTGTGTATTGATTAAATTATGTTTTGATATTTTTAAAATTAAAAATTAAGTCATTAACCAAATATTTATTTATCAATTACTTTTTTTTTTGCTAGCTTTATGGTGGAATAGTTTTGGAGACGACTGCAAAGAGCTGCAAACAATAGCTATTCGTATCCTAAGCCTCACTTGCAGTGCTACAGGGTGCGAGAGAAATTGGAGTGTGTTTGATCAAATTCACTCAAAGAGAAGAAACCGTTTAGAGCAACAAAGGTTGAATGCTCTTGTGTTTGTTAAATACAACCTTCAACTTGAAATTAGGCAAAAACAAAGGGAGGAAAAAGGAGGCACATATGATCCTATCTGCTTATCAGATTTAGATTCTGACGAGGAATGGATTACTGAGCAAGAGGAGCCTTGCCTAATGGATGAGGAATCTTGGATGGATGTTCATGAGTACTTCAACGTTGATGAAGGAGACCAAAGCAAAAAGAGAAAGAGAGGTATATTTGCATATATAATATTTCTTTTAATCAAACACCTTATGTAATATTTATTTACATTATGTATATTTTTTTTTTTAGGTCCTCGAAATCTTCAAGATGATAGGAATGATAAAGGCAAAGGCATCTTAATACAAGAGGATGTCAACAGGAATGATAACAGAAAAGGATCTCAAATTATTGAACAAGATATGGGAGATGAGTCAGATGACTCTACTAATGGAGAGGATGAAGGACTAGATATGTCAATACTAGATCCTGATAGTGATAGTAGTGATAATATTAGTCTTGAAATTTAATGAATATGAGAAATAACTGGTTTTAGATTTGGTTACTTATGGATTTTGGTATTTAGATTTTTTTTAATTTGGATTTATATGATATTATATATTTTTAAGTTATTTTTAATTTGTTTCTGAATCTTACGATTCGATACGATTCACGATACAAAAAAACAGCCGAACGATTCACGATACGTATTGCGATTCAACAACCATGATTCCAGCACAATTGTCTTTGCCGATGATCATTCCGGCATCTTCCATGTTGATGTTCATTTCGACGCCATTTTTAGCACATTGTTGATTTTTGGTTTCTCATTTAGGAGATTTATTTTGATGTTATGTTACTTGGTCTTTCTTGTAATAAGCTTGTAGCATAGTCAAGGGGAAACCACGGCTGCTCACCAACTGTTAAATGAAATGTCTGAGAGGGATCTTGATGCTGATGTCCTGGTCAGCTCAGTTGTCTTGCCGATGATAATTCCGACACCATCCATGCTCTGATGTCCATTCCAACACTGTCTCTTTATCAGCTCTTCAGACTGATGGTCATTCCAGTTGATTTGTTGTACTTAGTCATTTCATTTCGTTGATGTAGCATTGTTGTTTTTGGTTCTTAATGGGAGTATTATTTATGTATCAAGCTTGTAGCATATGATCTATATGCTACAGCTTGAGGGGGAGTGTTAAGAGTGTTAGTGTTAATAGTGTAGAAGTCCCACATTGAGTGTGTCTCTTTGTATTCTTCAATTGGTTTGCTATATAATAGCACCAATGTTGTGTAGTTTAATACAAGAAGGATTACTATCATTTCCTCTTATATCTATGATATTCAACTGAACCCTATCGTATGCTTTCTCAAGGTCTATGAACACCATATGCAAGTCCTTCTTCTTTTCTTGGTATCTTTCCATAAGTTGTTGCATCAAGAAAATGGCTTCCATGGTACATCTTCCTGGCATAAATCCAAATTGATTTACAGAAACCTTGGTATCTCTCCTCAAGCGATGTTCAATAACCCTTTTCCACAACTTCATAGTATGGCTTATTAGCTTAATGCCTCTATAGTTTGAACAATTCTGTATATCTCCCTTGTTTTTGTAGATAGGCACAATCATACTTTTCCTCCAACCATCAGGCATCTTATTTGTCTGGAGAATCTTATTGAAAAGATTGGTCAACCATTTTATTGCCACATCCCTTAGGCCTCTCCACACTTCAATGGGGACACCATCAGGCCCCAAGACTTTATTAGTCTTCATCTTCTTTAAAGCCTCCTTAACTTCATGTGTATTAATTCTGCGTACAAATCTTCTATTCATATCATCATACGCGTCCTCCAAGTCCACCTCGCTTGTATCTCCATCCCCATTAAACAGCTTGTTGAAGTAGTTCAACCATCTTTCATTTACATCTTCATCTCTCACCAGAAGTTTTTGATTTTCATCCTTGATGCATCTAACTTGGGTGAGGTCTTTACTTTTCTTATCCCTTATCTTTGCAAGTTTATAAATACCTCTTTCACCATCCTTGCTCCCAAGATTTTTATACAACTCGTCGAAAACCTTGCCTCTAGCTTCTCGCACTGCTTTCTTTGCATTTTTTCTCGCCAATCTAAACTTTTGCAAGTTCTCTTCACTGAGACTTTTATGCAAAGATCTAAAGCATTCCTTCTTATGTTTAGTTGCCTCTTGCACCTCTCCATTCCACCACCATGTTTCCTTTGTATGAAATCCATTTCCTTTACTTTCTCCCACCACCCTCCTTCCCAAATTTTGAATACACTTAGCCATCTCATTCCATATTGCATTTACTTCTCCATCAAACTCCCAGGGTCCGTCGTGCAACATTCTTTCATTGAACTCTCTCTTTTTTCCCCCCTTAAGCTTCCACCACCTTATCCTTGGGTTATGAGCCCTCTTCTTCATTGTAAATACTTTGTTGAATCGAACATCCAAGACTACCAGCTTATGTTGCGTAGCTACACACTCTCCAGGGTAGACCTTACAGTCGACACAAGAAGTTCTATCTTCTCTTCTAGCCAGAAAGAAATCAATCTGACTACGATTTTGGCCACTATGATAAGTGATTAGGTGTGACTCCCTTTTTCGAAAAAAGGTGTTCACTAACATCAAATCGTAGGCTAGTGCAACATTCAAGATATCTTCTCCAGTCTCGTTTCTCGTCTCATAACCAAAACCTCCATGGATTCTATCAAAACCTCTATTGCTTTTACCAACATGACCATTTAGATCTCCTCCTAAGAAAATTTTCTCCTCTCGAGGTATTCCCCTCAAAACCTCCTCCAAGTCTTCCCAAAATTGGCTTTTATCAGTTGGTTGCAATCCAACTTGGGGTGCATACACACTAAGGATATTCAGGATTAAATCACCCACAACAAGCTTAACCAGAATAATCCTGTCGCCTTTCATTTTGACGTCCACAACTTTATCTCTGAAACTTTTATCGATCATAATTCCAACACCATTTCGACTCTTGTTAGTACCTGTGTACCATAACTTGAAACCAGTTCCATCCACTTCCTTGGCCTTTTCTCCAGTCCACTTAGTTTCTTGCAAACAAACAATATTCACTTTCCTTCTAGCAAAAACATCTGCCAACTCCCTCAATTTACCCTTTAAGGTTCCTATGTTCCAGATGCCCAATCTTATCCTTAACCCTTGGGCTGTGCTTGCCCGCCACGCTCGCCCATCTGCGTGTTGGGACCCTGGCATACTTCTCACTAAATCCGGGTGAAGACCTGGCGCCTTGCCTTGGGGCAAGGACCCTAACCCACTTTTCACTACACCCCGGGCCCGATGCAGCGCCTTGCCTCGTGGCAAGGACCCTAACCCATTTTTCGCTACACCCGGGGCCCGATGCAACTCGTCGCTATGAAGGGTACGCCCCAACGAAAAATCATATAGGTTCATCACATAAAAATATAGTTGTTTTTTACGGCCGGTTCGCAACACCTGACGCCAACCCTCCTCCTTTATCTTTGCTTGGGACAGGCCATGCATGCAAGCACACATGGGCACACTATTAACTTAATAATATCTTGTGTAATTTCAAATGATACTGTTCTTTCTAACTTTATCATAAATTTCACTACTGGCTGTAGATATTCCATAGAATTGTTCTTCAATGTTTCTAAGGAATTATTTATAGTAGAGAGGCCACTGATAGATTGATAAAAATTGTTCCTTTTGAATGATAAATTGATTAATTATTCTCCACAAAAGTGAGTTTCTTTTATCTAGTATCAGTGGTTTTGACTTTTGAAAAACATTGTGACTTAGAAGAGATTGCTTTTGTTGTTGCTTCATTATACTCGTCAATTGCAGGTGGGAGGTTCCTCTTCCTCATGTATTGAGAGCAATTTATATGCATAAAGAAGGCACTGATCCACGCTTTATAAAATTGGAGCCCGTATTTAAATGTTCAAGGTTGAAGCGTGGTGGCTTCCAAACTTCTTGTGTGGACTTTAAACCCATCTATTTTTTTTATTTTTTTTTTAAATAAATCATGAACAAATTCAATCGCTGAAGAAAAAAATTCAGAGAGAAATTTAAATTAAATTCATTTATGTTTGTTTAATAATTAGATAAACAAATTTGAAGTAAACACAATTTAAAATAAATAAATGAACCCAGTTTATCAAAAGTACTTATTGTTGCATACACAAATATTTACTAAAATTTTTCAAACATTTCATTTTAATTAGATTTATTTTGTGATTTTAGTTTTAATTTTTTAAACATATCCTATATATCTGGAATTATCAATTACAAATTATTTTATAAAATTAAAATATATTACTTTTGGTCATAAGTGCATGCTTTCTTAATGCTTAATTTTCATTAGTTTACTCTTAAAGCAAATTTAAATGAACCAAGTCCAACAGTAATATTGTTATTTTATTTAAACTCAATAAAAACTTATGAACTCATCATATGTTTTGTTTTTTGAAAAAATAACCCTCTTATTTTTCATAATATAAATTTGACTACAATGTTATTTATAAATAATGGGACTCTAATTCAGGTTCTGATTGTGTATGTGTGATTTTTTTGGATGAAGTATTTGGATATTTGCATTCAGGTAAAGTAATATTATTCCTGTTGTGGTTGGTGTGATGTTGTTTAGGTTTGGGTTGAAAAACTCCAATGTGCGTGACCAATTTACATCCCTATATATGTTTTAAAATATGCATTTTAAAATAACTTGTTATAAAAATTAAAAAAAAAAAATGAGGATAGGAGGGAGGGAAATACTTGTGCATTTTAAAAGAACTGATATATTAAGACTCTTTTTACTGAATTAAAACTTGCTATTTGACATCACCTAGCAGCTTAAGCTTTTGGGTTGAATTGGTTTTTTGCATGGTGTTAGAGTTTTGGTGTCACGGGTTTGATCCTCACCGCCCTCCATTTTAATAATTAATTTTGTAGAATTTCTTAGCACAAGTAGGTTGGACTTCATGCATCATCCACCCTTCAAGCCCAATGAGCTTTCGTGTGAATAGACGTGTTAGAAATATATAAAACCATTAATGTAACCTCACCCAACAAATCTAACAACTTAAGCTTTTGGATTGAATTGGTTCTTTATACTATTTTTAATCCTCTGCTCTTCATTAGATGTTAAAAGCTGGAATCACTAGAAAAAGGTGGCTCATTGGATTATTGGAATAGTGTTATTGACTTATTGGTTTCTGCTGGTTTAATTGATGCAGCTGCAGAATGTTATTGAATTTACATGATGCTTTTTTATTTACTCCATTGTTTTATCTCACAGCATCCCACTAACAGTGGAGTGGTCAGTTACGCCCTCTCATGACTATCTACTTGCTGGCTGCCATGATGGAACGGTATAATATTCACTAAATGTTCTTCAATTTTCTGTGCTTTGCCTTTTCTAAATTGAACTTTACCTTGCTTTAATTCAGAAATATATTTGCCCATGAAGTTTGATTACGAGGGAAAAGGGATAATGCATTTTAATTTTTTTTTCTTAATTCTTATCCCCTTTCCTTCATCTTTCTGTAATATTTGTGCATCTATAATTTATTATGTTCTCATTTCATTGTTTAGTTAAAATACCAGTATATTGTCATCTGAAATCTTTTTTCACAATATATATCAGTACTAATGTAATTTGCTTTATATTTAGGTTGCTTTGTGGAAATTCTCTGCAAATGCTTCTTCTAAATGTGATGGTAATATTTTGTTACCTGATGTATGTCTCATGTTTACCTATTTGGTTGTTAGGGAAGGAAGCTGTGTTGAGAAATAATACTAGATATACTTTGTTGTTTATTGTCTCATTTGTTCATCTGCAGATACAAAGCCTGTGCTTTGTTTCGGTGGGGATACAGTTCCTATTAGAACGGTTGCCTGGGCTCCATTTGAAGGGTTAGTAATGATTGAAATTTCTCAGCCGTGGCACAACGGTTGATTGTATAGAATCTATAGCTTTTATTGTATATCTTTATAGGAATTTGGAAGAATTAAATTCTGTGTAGATTATAAAGAATTATTCTGCATGTATTTATGATTTTTGCTTCTCTGTCTTACCCCTTTGTTGAATAAAATTACTCTAATAGTAATAGATACGCCAGCTACAACCTAATCTAATCGAGTCTTTCAGAAAATTTGTAAAACTTATTTCCTTAATACGTGTATTTGTGTGCTTTTGAAATCATTGTAGAGATTGATTTATTCCTCTTTTGTGTTATCTTACACAGAGGATATCAATTCTCATTCATGTGACTGCCTTCTTTCCTTCTTAATCAAACTCTTTCCTATTAAAAAGTAATAAAAATAGCATCATTTGTGTCTGTACATAATTTGCAAGTCAATCATTTTTTTCCATGGTGTATACATGTACCCTTGTTTTCTTCATGAAGATTGCTACAATAAACAAGACATTAGTTTCTTACATCGGCAAATATCACATCTAAATTCATCTGTATTTACGTCCTTTGTTTATCCTTTTACCTTCATAATGTTGAATGGGATATGTGATTTGTTATAATATTTCAGTGATCCAGAGAGTTCTAATATAATAGTAACCGCTGGACATGAAGGCCTTAAGTTTTGGGACCTACGGTGAGTTTATTCCTTTTTCTTTTTTGTTTGTTTACTTTGTTATGTTATTTCTTTTTAGTTCATTTTAGACATCAATCTTTACTTGTAATGTTGCATTCCATCTTAATAGAATATGATTTTCATACTAATTTTTTTTACAAATGATGATGCAATTAAATCACATAATGTTACAAAACTTGGCCCAGACCAGCAAACTGGTGAACAGGTATTATCTTGACCAATTTGAGCAGCATGTAACTCGGTTATGTATCAGGCCAGTATGAATATTGTGATCGGCTGATTTTGAGTTGACTCATGTCACGTGACTTATCCAGTTTTATGAGAACTGACGCAGTGACTGGAATCTGAAAATGTCTCAATTTGAACTAAAACTCTTGGTTGTTTCTTGTTTCCGGTTCTGGGCTTCTTTTTTTGCGCATTGTCCCGTTTACATTTTTCTGGGCTTCTAATTCTTGCAGATAATCTCTCTCTTTCACAATTTCTAGCCAACTTTGGTATCTTTTTAGAACTCCAGCTAATCAACTTGGTGGGTGGATCTGGAACATTGATATGCTATGCTATGCTATGCTCTCTGAGTGTAGATCTGCAATGTCTCTCTCTCCCACTTCCTTCTGCTGGAGCTAGCCCAAACACCAGAACTTCCAATCCAAAACCATTAAATAATCCTTGAGAACCAAAACATTTGTCACGCGCTCACATCATAAACAAATGATATTGATACATTGAGCTCCCTGAATTTACCTTACAAGGCCACCATGATCAGAAAATATCTGTGCAGGCCTCTCAAAATTGTTTAGCATATCTATTGACAACGGGAAATGGATCCTCTCATTTCTCATTTAATATGACCAGGTCATGTGAGATGATATTAACTGTCCATAGACAAATTAATGGTGACAAGAGCGAGAGAGAGAATGAATTAAGATGGAGAGTGAGGAAAGAATAATTGTTGATTTGTCTATGAACGGTTGAGATCATTTCACATAACCTAGTCATGTGAAATGAAACATTAGGGGATCCATTCCCATTGACAAAGTTATCTCCTTTTCATTATAAAGAAAAAAAAAAAACAAGATGGAAGCTAATAACTAAGTAATTGTTGAGATATATCCTTGTAAAGAACCTTGGGATACACCACCTCAAAAGCTAGCTCAAAGGGTGGGAATGCCCAAGGCCTTATAAAGTCCACATTAGTTGCACATACAACCAATGTGGGACTATATATCTCAACACGCCCCCTCACATGAGAGCCCATTGGGCTTGAAGAGTGGATAATGCAACAGGCCCAGCCTACCTGTGCTAAGAAACGCCACAAGAGAAAGTGGGGGGCGGCAAGGCTCTGATACCATGTAAAGAACCTTGGGATAAAACTCCACATTAGTTGTGTAACACGCCCCCTCGCACAAGAGTGGATGATGCAACAGGCCCAGCCTACCTGTGCTAAGAAACTCCACAAGAGAAAGTGGGGGGCGGCGAGGCTCTGATACCATGTAAAGAATCTTGGGATACACCACCCCAAAAGCTAGCTCAAAGGGTGGGAGTGCCCAAGGCCTTATAAAGTCCACATTAGTTGCACATACAACCAATGTGGGACTATATATCTCAACAGTAATATATTTCTTTTTTTAAAAGCATAATATTCATTATAGAAGCATGCTATTGACCTTGTGGCCCTCCAAAGTTGGTGGTAGGTTCAGGTACTAGAAGCCTGCAATACACATAATAAAAAAAGAAAGAAAGAAAGAAAAGGATGGCAACACCATAGGTGCAAAAGCAATTCCTCTTCAATTTTTCTAAGTTATGGTGTAAGTATGGAAAAAATTGACGCATGCTGCAATTTCTTTAGAGCACAGATATTTTTTGTTTAGGAGCATGAGCAATTGAGCATCACAAGTATTGGAATTATATGGTTTAGGTGGAAGAGGAGGAAAAGAGAAAAAGGAGGCTAAATAATACTCAGTGTGTGTATTAGATGTAATTCCAAATACTATCCTAAGTCAAGTATTACAAGCCTAGCCCAATAAGACTAATAACATAATAACCCTACTGTTCTAATCCGTGAGCGGATGGGCCAAACAGGTCTGTGCTTGATCAGAATGTGTGAGTGTTAGAGAATAATATAAACAATTAAAAAAGATCTTCACCCAACATCTTAAGATTTTGGGTTGAAGTGATTTTTTTACGTGGTAATAGAGTGCTTCAGTGACTATAAGGTCACGAGTTCAATCCTCACCCCCTCCACTTGTGAAATTAAATAAGCACAAGGTAAAACCAAAAAAAAAAATGGGCTCTTGTGTGAGAGGGCATGTTAAAGATATATAAAAAACCATTAATGTAACATCACTCAATAGCTTAAGTTTTTGGGTTAAATTGGTTCTTTATATGCTAAGGGTGTGCATGACAACCTTTCCGGAATCAGTTTTTTATTTATTTCTGTTTCCAGTTTATTTTTTTGTTCCCAAGATGAACCGGTTTAATTTTTGTGCTAGGGAACAAAAAATAAAATAAAAGAATTCCTGTTTTTTTATTCCCGAGCATAAAATGAGAAACTCTTGTCTATCTCAATCACTCTCCACCAACACCATCATCTCTACACTACCACTGCCACTATCGTCACCGTCGTCGTCGTACAACCAGTGTCGTCGTCACCACCACCACGATGCCACCCCCACCATCTCCACCCATCGCCACCATCACTGTCACCACCACTACCATCACCACCATCATTGCAGCCACTGCCGTCATCACCACCACCACCACCACACCACTACCATCGCTGCAGCCACTACCATCACCACGCCATCGCCACCACCACCATAGTCACAGTTATTGCCATCATCACCACCGCCACCATCACCACCATTGTCGCAGCCATTGTCGTCACTACAACCACCGCCGTTGTCACCACCATTGCCATCATTACCACTACCACGCCGCCACCACCGTCGCCGCCACCACCATTACTACACCATATGAAAAGGAAAGTGAGGATCCGAAAAAAAATTTATGCGTAATAAGAATGATTTTTTATTATATTATTGTGTTATCAAACGCAATTTTCATTCTTGGAATGAAAATAAAATATGTTATCAAACACGTTTTTTTCCTCAAAAACTGTTCCAAGGCACAGAAATAGAAAAGAATTGTTTCTTTTCAGAAATAATGTCAGGGAACAGAATAGTTGTCATGCACACCCTAAGAATCTCTACAATACACAATTTTGCACATAATAAGAGCTCTCGATGCTGAGGGCTCTGCTTACGCAACTGTCGCCTTTAGAGCGGAACCCTATTTGTTTGCCACTTGCCGCCACTAGTCGCTACCGGAATTTTTTTTTCCGGAAACCCTTTTGGACCAAGAGGACCACTGTTTGACTCTGTTTTTCCAATTTTATCAATCCACAGACGTTTCCTAGTCACAAAATAACCCAAACAGCCCCAAAAAGCCCAAACTGCTACTGTTTTTCACCGGAACTAGAACAGTACTATTCCAGTGCCTTTTCAACTCCGATCTGCCTCGAACCACCTTGAATGGACTCGCCTTGGCTCCCCGGTTCCAGATCTGCTCTTACCTCCTTGATCAGACACTTTTCCAGCAGTGGGTCTTTGATCTCATCATAAAAACCAGCTCTTTTTGGCCACTCACGTCTCCTTGGATTAGATCTGATTTTTTTGTTGCTATTTGGGACATTCAGAGACCTCTACTTGTCATAAAAATCGGATCTTTTTGGGTCTCTCAAGCCTCCTTTGATCAGATCTGACTTATTTATTACTACTTGGGACGTTCAAAGGCTTATGTGGTAATTATTCACACTCCTTTTGCGCTGCCTTCTTCTTCTTTTTCGTCCATGGGAAGTTCGTGCATCCACTGTAAGGGGTTTGGACATACAAAAGACACTTGTTCTTTGGCTATGTTTGGTAAGATCGCACACCCTACATCTCTTCTTGCTTTATGCACTGATTTTTAAAAATTCGTGGATTATGAACTCTAGTGCAACTGATCATATGACTTGTCTAGCTAATCTGTTTCTTTCATATCACCCTACTAGTGGTAACCATACTATAACTGTAACTTATAGATCTCACAAATCAGTTGTGAGTTTTGGTAACATTGAAATTTATTAGAGTATATGAGCTATACTACACAGTGAGGTCCACAATCAGATTAGTTAAAGTGATAGTTAGATTAGTTAAAGTGTAGTTAAAGTGGTTCAACAACTTTCCTGATTTCATGGAGTTAGTTGCCACTTCAGCAACTGATGTACTATATAGACTCTATCGTAATCATTTTACACTAAATGAAAATAATCAGAATTTCAGAATCTCTCTTCTCTCTGAAGCTCTCTGTATTTCTCTGTTATCTTCTTGAACCAGCTTTCATTTATGGTATCAGAGCTCCAATCTTGGGGCCCTGATCCATCACTTGTTCTTCCATGGCTTCCGCTACACAAAACCTTGCTGATACTACATTTTCTTCTTCTCCTAACTCTTCAAAAGACTCAAGATCTCCAATATTTTTCAATACACAACTGTCAGTGAAGCTGACAAACAAGAACTTCCTATTGTGGAAACAGATTGTTGAACCACTTTAACTACACTTTAACTAATCTAACTATCACTTTAACTAATCTAACTATCACTTTAACTAATCTGATTGTGGACCTCACTCTGTAGTATAGCTCATATACTCTAATATTCGCCCCTAGTTTGCAGGCTGAATAAAGCCATCTATGGTCTCAAACAGGCTCCTAGGGCCTGGTTTGAGAAGTTTCAGGCAGCCTTACATCAACTTGGATTTGTTTCTATTAGAGTTTCTGTATTGAAGGAAAACGAAAGAAACTGAAGAACAGTGAGAGAGAGAAAAGAGAGAGAATGAGTTGAAAGTACATTTTGTATTTCTAATCAGTAAAATGAATCCATCGTACAAGATATAACTAGGACTCTATATATAGAGCCCAATGCTAACCCAAAGGTGAGTCAGCAGAACTAACTAACTGTGTAAACAGATCTAACAAACAGTAACAACCCCAACAACTATGACAGCTAATACACAGCTAATATAGGAAGTATAATCAGCTACAGCTGATACATGAAAGCTAAGTTACAGCTACAAGGAGTGATATATTATTATAACACTAATACTCCCCCTCAAGCTCAGCAGTGTTGAGAAGGTAAGAGAGTGTTCAAAACTCTGAGCTTGTCACGGAATGCAGCAAGGGAGGCAAGAGGCAGGGGTTTTGTAAATGTATCAGCTAGCTGAGCTGTAGCTGGGATGTGAGAAACCATAATCTCCTTGGCAACCACCTTTTCACGAAGAAAGTGCAAGTCCAACTCAAGATGCTTTGTGCGAGCATGCAAGATGGGATTGTGAGCAATAGCTACAGCACTAAGATTGTCACACAAAATTTGAGGAACTGACAGAGAGAGTTCCAGCTCCCGAAATAAGGATTTAATCCATAAAATCTCTGTACAAACCAAAGCCATACTCCGATATTCAGCTTCAGCCGTAGATCTGGCTACAAGAGGTTGTTTTTTGGACCACCAAGAGATTAAATTCGGGCCAAGGAAAATGCATGCACCGGAGGTTGATCTTCTATCATCAGGATCACTTCCCCAATCGGCATCACAAAAGGCAGTAAGAGGAAAGGAGCCTGTGGTTGATTTTACAGGTTGAAAATGAAGTCCAAAAGAAATAGTGCCTTGAAGGTATCGTAAAATCCGTTTTACTGCTTTCCAATGGTCCACCAAAGGCTGACTCATGAATTGGCAGACCTTATTCACAGAAAAGGAAATTTCTGGCTTAGTGATAGTTGCATACTGCAGTGCACCTACAACTGACCGATACAAATGAGGATCTTCAAAAGCATGAGAGCCAAACTTTGATAACTTGCAACTAGAAGACATAGGAGTGGAGATAGGCTTGGCTTCAAGCATGTTCACTTTAGTAAGAAGATCCTTGATATACTTTGACTGAGAGAGAGACAAGGAACCTGTAGAGAGGCGTTTAATCTGAATTCCAAGGAAGTAATCAAGACTGCCAAGATCCTTCAAAGCAAAAGAAGTGTTAAGGTGAGAGATAAATTGCTGAATAAACTGAACACTATTTCCTGTCACAATGATATCATCTACATATACAAGCATGTAGACTCTCAAGTTTCCAGCTTTGTAAATGAACAAAGAGGGGTCACATCTGCTTGCATGAAACCTAAAGGACAGAACCGAGCTCTTTAGTTTGTCAAACCAAGCTCTTGGTGCTTGTTTGAGACCATAGAGAGACTTGTGGAGTTTGCAAACTAAGGATTTGTCTTGAGATACAAAACCAGAGGGCTGTTCCATAAAGACCTCTTCCTCTAGGACCCCATTTAAAAAGGCATTATTAACATCAAGTTGCCTTAAGGACCAACCATATGTGAGAGCAATGGCAAGTACAGCTCGGATTGTGGCAGGTTTAACAACTGGAGAGAAGGTTTCATTATAGTCAAAATCAGGTCTTTGGTGAAAGCCTTTAGCCACTAACCGAGCTTTGTATTTGTTGACACTTCCATCAATATTCTTCTTAACTTTGAGCACCCATTTGCACCCTATAGCGCGTCTACCATGAGGTAAAGGGACAAGTGACCAAGTGTTGTTCCTCTGTAAGGCTTCATACTCCAACTCCATTGCCTTGAACCAGTGAGGACTTTTCAGTGCCTGTTTAACTGATGCAGGTTCAGAATGTGTTAATAGAACAAGGTTCCTAGCCACGGATTTGGATCTTGTGGTAATGGAGTGGGCAGGGGAGGATGAGCTTAAGGAATTGGAAGGAGCATATTCTGAGTGGGAAGATTCAGGACTGGTACTGTGACTAGAGGGTGAAGTAGATATTGGTGTAGGTGACAAGTAATTGCTGTGAGAGATAGACAAATCAGTGTGAGAGACAGTAGGTGACATGTGAGGTGTAATAGCAGTATGGGATGCACTTGTAGAGTTCGAGGGGTAGGTGATTTCAGTAGGTAAGACATCAGTCCCGGAAATTATGGGAGAAAAGGTAGGTAAGGGAACAAATGAAGGAGGAGATACCTGTGGGGTGTAACACGACTTATTGGGGAACCACTCTTTGTAAGGGAATCTATATTCATTGAATGACACATCTTTTGAAATGAAGATTTTATTGTCAGGACTCAAGCAAGTGTATCCCCTATGATTTGGTGAATAGCCCAGAAAAATACACTCTCTTGATCTAAACTCTAACTTATGTTTATTATATGGTCTGAGGAAAGGAAAACATGCACAACCAAAGGTCCTTAGGAAGTTATAGTCAGGAGGCTGCTTGAAGTGCTTAGAGTAAGGATTCTCAAAGTGTATAGCAGCTGATGGGAGCCTATTAATGAGGTAACTGGCAGTGGTAAAGGCATAATCCCAATATTGCATTGGGAGTGATGACTGTGATAGGAGAGTTAAGCCAGTTTCCACTACATGACGGTGCTTCCTTTCAACCACTCCATTTTGGTGAGATGTGTGGGGACAAGTGACTCTATGAGCTATGCCATGTGATTTGAGGTATGAGGAGAAAACACGAAACTCACCACCCCAGTCAGTTTGAAGTGCTTTCAGGGGTAGTTGAAATTGATTAGTTATCATTGCATGAAACTGTTTGAAAATACCAATGGCATCAGATTTTTGTTTGATAGGATAAAGCCATGTATATCTAGTGTGAGCATCAACAAATGAAATGTAGTATGTGTTACCAAGAGTTGATTTTAGTGGTGAGGGTCCCCATAAGTCACTGTACACAAGGCTGAAGGGTTCATTATATTCTGTAGTAGAGGCTGAGGAGTGTTGTCTATGTGATTTTGCACAAGAACAAGAAGAACAAAACTCTGTCATTTTATTACTAACATGTATATTACAAGATTTCAGAACACTTTTAAGAGCATCTAGGTGTGGGTGCCCCAAATGACAGTGCCACAGAGAGTACAAGGAATTAGAAGAAATACACATTTTATTCCTAGTATCTAAGGCAGTATTGGAATTTTCAACAAGATTGACAGAGTTGCTTGAAAGATATGTACTGGAACAACTGGTATTTGTCTGAGAGGTTGGATTTTTGTAGAGCTTCAGATCTGGGAAGTGATATAGACCATCAGTGCCAACAGCACCTTGAAGCAAGATCTTATGGGAATGCTGGCATTTTACAAAACAGACATCAGAATGGAATTCAAAGAAGACAGAGTTATCCTTGGCAAATTTGCTAACACTGGTAAGATTTTTGGTAATCGAAGGAACCAAAAGTAAATTTCTAAGGTGTAGGTGTGTGTTTGAATGAAGAGGAGATATGAAAGATGAAGATCCAATGGCTGTTACAGGCAAACCTTGACCATTCCCAATCAGTATTTGATCTGAACCACTAAGGTGTTGACCTTGTACAATATTCTGAGGTGATGCAGTAACATGACTTGATGCACCAGAATCCGGAACCCACTCAAGAAGTGAAGCAACATTCGATGCAGATGGCAGAGAAGGTTGCATTGTCATATAGGCTTGTCCTTGGTTCGGAGGTCTGTTGTACTGAAAGGATCTGACAGGATGAGGCTGTTGCTGAAGAAAGAATTGAGGATAAGTATTTTGTGGTGGAGGTAGATTTGGAGTAAAGTTTTCTTCGAACCTATGCCAACAGTCCTTCACATCGTGCCCATACTTATAGCAAAGTTGGCAATGTACATTAGATCTATTTCCTCTACCTCTACCTCTGTTAAACCTCATGTTAGATCTTCCTCTTCCCCTGTTTTGGCCATTTGAGGTGTTAAACTGTTTGAAATGTTGTTCCTCTGTTCTGCTCTGTTTTCTGAACTCGTGAACAGTGTCATCTTCTTCATCAGATCCAGTCTTCTGAGGTGTCTGAACACGCTGGGTTAAGTTTATTGAGGCTCCTTCTGCGAGTAGCTGCTCATTCTGCTTGATAAGAAGTTGTTCATAAGCTATTAGCTCTACTCCTAGATCTGCAACGGAGTAAGCATTTTCTCTACCATGTATCATCATCACGAACGAGTTGTAGTCTGAGGACAGTCCTTCGAGTATGGTTTCAGTATGCTGTTCAACAGAAACTGGACTTCCAATTGATTTGAGTGAATCACAGATTGTTTTGATTCTTGTAATATATTCCTTCGCTGTTTTTGCACCTTTCTTCATCGTCTTTAGCTCAGATCTGAGTTGTCTGGCTCGTGACTTCATTACACCATGGAATAGCTTGTGTATGTTGTTCCATGCCTCAAAGGAATGTTTGACTGGAAGAATATCATTAACCACTGGTTCAGAGATGGTAGATAGCAACCAGGTCAAGAGCATTTGATCTTGCATCAGCCAGTCAGTATAGGCTGAACTGAGATTGTTATTCTCTCGATCTTCATCTGAGTTGAACTTCAAAGGTATCTTTGGATTCACCAGAAATCGTTGCAGTTGGTGAGAAGTGATGATTGGATCTATGATCTGATTCCAAAAAAGGTAGTTATCTTCGGATAATCTTGCAGAGACTTGAAAGTTAAAAAGTGTAGACGGATTTTTGAGTTCCATCGTAGATCTAGAAGCGGATTCTCCAGATCTGTTTACTGGAGTTGCATCTGGAGTTGCACTTGTGTCAGAGTTGGATGCGGAAGACATGTTTGAAGGCTCTTGATACCATATTAGAGTTTCTGTATTGAAGGAAAACGAAAGAAACTGAAGAACAGTGAGAGAGAGAAAAGAGAGAGAATGAGCTGAAAGTACATTTTGTATTTCTAATCAGTAAAATGAATCCATCGTACAAGATATAACTAGGACTCTATATATAGAGCCCAATGCTAACCCAAAGGTGAGTCAGCAGAACTA